AAGGGTGAAATGTTTATGTGAGTGTATGTGACGATATACATATGTATTTAGCGGATTGATGCCCCCCAATTTTTGTATATTTTTATGAGCGCAATTTCATCAGCATTTGGAAGCCAATTCTTCACCAATCAAATCATTCGTCACAGTCAGGGGCAGATGTTAATCACTTGGTGCGGGATCCGGACTATAAGGTGGATGCATAGAACCTTCCAACAATGCTCTCGAATCTTTTGGGGAGTCACTATCGATCGTTGCACTGATGAAGCACAATTCCCCTTCTGTTGACCCTTCTTCCTTAAACCATCCAATTGGTGACTGTACAGCTCCGAATAAGGAGTTTAGTGGTAGAGTAGCAGCTCATAGTGGATAATTTGATTTATTGCCACCAAACACACAGCAAAATTTTAATAGTCGTCAATCCTGACTTGGAAACCTTTAATGCCGGCTCACTGCCCTTCGTCGACGACGATCTTTTTCGCTTGACGTTGCTGTAAGTGTTCCACATCATTCTCCGCCAGCCGCTGCAAAAATGTGACTAATGTGCTCAAAATTGCACCAAAAACGGTTTGGAGCCACTTAAACAATGCTCGATACACAAGAAAGCTCAATGTATGCCACATGAGTCAAAGAGAAACAACCTCATGGACCGATTTTTAATCTGCGAATCGCTGCTGAATCGTAACGAAATTGACCCGTTTCTAAAACAGATTTTGACTGGTGATGAAAAGTGGGTCACTTACAACAACATTGAGCGAAAACGGTGGTGGTCAAAGCTCGGGGAAGCGGCCCAGACGGTGGGCAAGACCGGATTGACGACCAGTAAGGTTTTGCTGTGTGTTTGGTGGGATTGGCAAGGAATCATCTACTACGAGCTGCTCCCCTATGGCCAAATGCTCAATTCGGCCCTCTACTGCCAACAAATGGACCGCTTGAAGGCAGCACTCATCCAGAAGAGGCCATCTTTGATCAACAGAGGCCGAATTGTGTTCCAACAGGACAACGCCAGGCCACACATGTCTTTGGTGATGCGCCAGAAGCTCCAGGAGTTCGGATGGGAGGTCCTACTACACCCACCTTATAGTCCGGACCTGGCACCAAGTGATCACCATCTTTTTCTGACCATGGCGAACGCGCTTAATGGTGAGAAGTTGGCCTCAAGAGAGGCCTGTGAAAATTGTCTCTCCGAGTTGTTTGCCAATAGGGGCGCAGCCTTCTATGAGAGGGGTATAATGAAGTTGGCATCTCGTTGGCAACAAGTTTACAAACAAAACAGCGCCTATTTGACTTAAATCGAACAAATGCATACAAAGCTATCATATTTTGAAAAATCAATAAAAAAAACCGAACTTTTTACTTGACCAATGTTAACATTGATACAAATGCCCTTTATTTGTTATAAAAAAATTCTTATATGTAAATTTACATCAATACCAACACCTAATAAATTAATTTAGTTAGTCATCGGTCTCACGGTCTAAAGTCCAAATCGAACAAACATCAATTTCGGCGGAAATCATAGTTAAGTTCGTTTGTCACCGAGCTTATCGCACAAGCGATATGTACATATTAATTTACAAACAAGTGTTTTTGAACTTAATTTTTTTTAGCAAATACAATATTATTTCATTATTTAAAGTTTAAGTAGCGTGAGTAAACTATACTTTTACCGCTACATATTTGTTTTTATTCAAAGTGATTAACTGACTTCATGTCCACATTTAGTCGTTGGATTTTCTAACAAATATTTGTAGATAAACTGGCGAACAACACGTAATGAGTGCGTGAATCGTATCGAAAATGTGGTAGACAATGTCGGAGAAAGAATTCTTAAATAATATAATACCAAACGGCCCAAGCGACTGCTCCATTTTGCCAAAAGAAGAACAATGTTTTCCAAATTGCAAACAGACAGAGATTGGTCTTATGTGTACGTAGTATCGTCTAAGTACGACTCGAAGGGTCAAAGAGTTCAGCTTGACCTAGGCAAACGTCATGAAGGCAACCGCTGCCTCAACTGCACCTTACCTAATTAGTTAGAGTTGAGTTCATTTAGTCATGTCCTTGGGCTTGTATGCATACCAGCCTCTTAATTTTTTAAGATAATCCAATCATATCTGGTTTATAGATGCATTGACACATTTAACCGATCATTTGTGGGGCTCGGCCATATTGTATGACTTTAGCGTAAATACGACCGATTTTTCCTACTTCAAATTTTGATTTAAAAAAAAAAAGCTTCTCATAGCGTGAAATTTGGCATTTACGGAAAATCATGGTTTGTTAGTTCATTAAGCGCCCAAATATCGAGCTTCTTGGAGTAGCCAACCTTGATTTTAATGATTCCAAACTGTCACTTGAGTGATGCCAAATCCCAGCATTATCTCCTGACAGCTCCGGTCTTACGCCAGCAGTTGCCTTTTGAGTGATTGGCCCACCAGAACGAGACGAATCTTGTAAAATCTTGTAGTCTAGGTCTAGGTTGGTCGCTTAACTTATTGTTTCCAATATTCGGTCGACATAATTACCCAGCTCCAGCAACCATGGATCGATTTTGCAACACATTTACTCTAGTGGATAGTGTGTATCCTCGGAGACGCCGTACAGTCCGCAACACAAAAACCATTGCTACTGCGGAGCAGTGTATTGGGGAAGACCCAAATGAGTGCATCTGCGCAACAATTGCAGATTTTTCCATTCACTTTATGGAAGATTTTGTGGATTAAACTCACTTAACAAGCCATTTTTGAGACGCCGTGACGCCCGCTAAAAGTCACTGTTTGGTATGTTCTGTGAGCAAAAGGAATCATTGATCCATATTTCTTCAAAAATGAAGCGGATCATAATGTACAGTCAGTGAGGAAAGATAAAGAGATTTGAATAATGACCTTTTCGTGCCTGAATTCGAGGATGTTGTTATGGATGGTTCCAACAAGAAGGAGCTTCATGCCATACAGCCAAGGAAGTAATCAATTTATTGTATGGAACTTTTGGTTAGCGCATTAGCAAGATCTTAATTGCTAAATAAATGTTGGCGAAAATTGGGTCTCTCGACAGGGAGTTTTTTTGACTAAGGCCGTCACCGTTTTGAAAATATAATAATAGTGAAGCCTTATCTTTATAATAAAGCTATCAGGTGTACAACTTTGCCTCGCCGTTTTCCGATAGGTGGCTGTACCGGCTGAGGCTGGTTGAAATACATAGATGATAATGCCTTTAAAGTGAGTGTGGACAGTGCCTAACGGTTTCAGTGACAGTTGTTCTTGTTTTCGTATTATTCACGCTCGAAAATGTCCGTTTATGTGCCTAATTCGCGCCATTTGCGGTAAGTTTTACTTTTCTGTTACAACTCGAAAAAAAAATGCAGCTGAAGCGCATCGAATGCTCTCAGAAAATTACGGTGATGCTGCTCTGAGTAAAAGAACGTGTCGGGAGTGGATTCAACGTTTTAAAAATGGTGATTTCGATCTCGAAGACAAAAATGGTGCTGGAAGAGAAATTTGGTGGGATCAGCTCGGTGCGATTTACTACGAGCTCTTAAAACCGGGTGAAACCATCACAGGAGATCGCTACCGAACGCAACTGATGCGACTTAGTCACGCGCTAAAAGAAAAGCGGCCACAATATCACGAGCGACATGACAAAGTCATCCTCCAACACGACAATGCTCGGCCTCACGTCGCAAAAGTGGTCAAAAAGTACCTGGAAACGCTGAAATGGGAAGTCTTGTCCCACCCGCCGTATTCGCCAGATGTCGCTCCTTCTGACTTCCACCTATTCCGTTCGATGGCAGATCAACACTTCAATCCTTCAAAGAATTGGAAAAATGGATTGCTTCGGGGATAGCGTCAAAAGAGGACTCCTTTTTTCGAGCCGGGATGCGAAAATTGCCGGAAAGATTGGAAAAAGTTGTCCCTAGCGAAGGACAATACTTTGAATAATATATCTGCAAGCACTTTTTCGCAATAAAGCTTTTAATATTGGAAAAAACGGCGGAAGCAAAGTTGTACACCTGATAAATTTTGGGCTATAACATTACATTATAGGCCTTTTATTTCTTCTTAAAAACCACATGTCGAAAAAAATTCTCGCTCCCAAGCGTGTTGTTATAACGGTTATTGCTCTCTTAAATGTGAACTTATAACAGCTTTTGCGCTCTTCTGGTTGACTTGTTTTCTTATCACCCTTGCATAGTTACTAAGATTGTCAACATACCTGCCGGCGTGTTTAAAATACCGCTCATTTATTACATTTCCATTGTTGCTTTTATTGTTGAGGTCAAAGTTGTGTTTTATTGCAATTAGTTGCAAACAATCGACAACAACAAACAGCTTCGGTTGTATTGCTTATCTTAAAAACCACTTGTGTATCGAACGCGGCTTATCGTATACGATATCATATTTTTCAAATAATTTCAATAAAAATTTGATGTACTTTGTACCGCGCTCAGTACGCTTATACTAGACCGTTAAATATTGTTGTTCTCTTATGTTTGTTTGTATGTATTAGAATAGGTAATTTAGACTTTTATCTTGAGATTATCGTTGAAGCATTGCAATTTAAAAACCAGAAAAATAGAAAAATAGTGAAAATTTTACGATTTATAATTTTATTTTATTATTTTCGAAACAATTATTACTTTATTATGTAAAAAAAAAAAAATAGAAATATAACAATAACTAACTATAGTCTCATTTTTTTTTGATATTTGTGGTTTAATCGTATTAAAAATATTTTTATTGCTGTTTAAAACAAAATATTTGTAATTACACGCTCCATTGCCACAACAAATTACTGTCAACAAAGTATTATTGTCATTAATATGTACATATATTTTTTAATTATATGTATGTACATACAAGTATATTCTATTATAAACGCAATTTATTTTATTTCCTTTGCAAAAACAATAATAATATTTTAATTGCCTTTTAGTGTGAACGACATTAAATTCATATTTCCGTTCTAAAAAAAAAATTTGCTTTTTTCTGCTTCCATTTCAGATGTAAAACCGCTCAAACACCGGAAGAGAAGGAAAAAGTAGAGGAATTACAGAAAAACACATTGAAGCGGAAAGCGCAGATTCATGAAATTGAACAGTCATTACCCACCAAATCGGGATTATATCTCAAGGTAAATACGTGTGATCGCATAACAATTTGTAAATATATTTATATTTATATTTATTATTTAATCTTTTATTTAGAAGAAAACCAGTCTCTTCTGTAGAAACTCTTTCAATCCGCTTGAGACTGGGTCATAGGGTTAAGCACGTTTACGTGTCTGTGGTACTTTGGCGTCTTGTAACTGCTGTAGCAATTTTCGGCTGAGCAACTCCTCTGATTTGCTGTGTGAGACTTGATGTTTTCCCTACAGTTCATCCGAAAGGCTGATGGTTGTTTATGAGAAGCTTTGATTTCATGTCAGAAATACACTCGCTGGGCTTGACAATCGCAAATAATAATTTTCTATAATTTTGTTTATTGGTCGGACCCAACCAAGGCTCGAAAACTGTCGTATACTTTTTTATATAATTTTTTGGATTAAACATCCCTTTTCCTCAATTGATAATATTCTCAATCCAGTCCTAAGCAGTTAAGTACGAAAAACACTTCTTGATAGCGGAGCTCTTTGTATTTGTAGATATTCTGAAGCTCTCGTATCGGAAGTTTAGACAGAAGGGACGCCGTAACCGTAAGGTTAATCAATGCTTACTGCCGTGCGTAGCATCGCGGGCTCAAATTCTTGCCAGACCAACAGAAATTTTGTAGAAAATTAATATAAAAAAAAATTTTTCTAATTGCTTTCCACTTCGCTATGCATTATCAAGCACCCGAAGTATATTTCTGACATGAACCCCAAATTGGGTTTGCGACGAATATTGTAGGAGTGACAGTCCTTGGTTCTGAAAACAACAGACGTGACTCGGCGCCGATAAATTCTTGCTTTCTTTCTCCTACTTCTCTTTTGATGTCTTCTGTTTTGCTTAACGCTGACCTCATAGACGAATAAATAATGTCTGCATAAGAATTTTTTTTTTTGGTTTTTTTTTATTATCTTCGCTCCTCTCGTCTCCTTCCTTTTATTTTGCGCAACTCTGCTTTTGAATGAGATTTTTGTTGATAATTTCGCTTCCTTTCTGCTTATTTATGACCCAACAGCATTTGGCTTTTGAGTCACGCTTTGACAGATAACGAGCCAATACGCCAGTTGATATTCTTGTTGTTGTTGTTGTTGTTTTTATTGTTGTTGTCAACATTGATTGTTTAGCTGGTGTTAGTAAGCAATTTAAAATGCAAATTTTTGTATTATGTGTTTATTTTGTAATCCTTCCGATTGCGTGGCTGGTTTACTTAGTGATTTAATGAAATTCAGTTGAATTCGAGAGCGAGGGAGTTGTTTGTTCACAAAAACTGATGCTTTCAAGCTGCAGAGTAAGTGTTATTTTCAACAGGTTTTAATAACTTTTTTAACCACTTGAGCAGGTCTCGGTCGAGTTCCACCTCCGATTTGTGGTTTGCGTCTTCATTTCTTCTAGTCAAATGAGGGACATGTTGCTCGAAGCATAACTCCAACCCTGGCCTTCCCAAGGCAGTACACAATCGTAGCTATTTTTGGTGTTACCTTATATCATGAGAACAGCTGAACTGAATTCTGCCAACAGCCCATTCGCGTAATCATGAAGATCTTGAATTTGAAAAATGAAGCGTACCTGTGTTTGTGACTAAATTCCTTCTAAAGTATTCAGTCGATTTTGATAAAATTGTGTACTCGAGAAAATCACAAGCATAGGTAAAATCATAATTTAGTGGAGTTGCCACCTGTTTTGAAATTATATGTATACAAATCTTCTGTAAGTATGGCTCATGTGAATTTACAAATTCGATTGTGACGATTTGTGTGGCTCAAGAATGATTTAAATTTACAATTTGGCAGTGTTGCCACCTATTGTGAAATTACAAGTTGAATAAAGTGATAAAATCAACGAGATATTACAATATGGGTATCAAACTGAACAGATTAACGAAAGGCTTAACGGGAAAAATATTTTTCGCAGCGTTGCCACCACAGTTTAAAATTACAATTTGAAAGAATTGTTAAAATGCTGTAAACTTTAATCAAGTAAATTACCATAACCATATAGGGTGTCGAAATAAGATTTACAAAGCTAAATGGTGAAGATATTGTTGAGGAGGGTTGCCATCTGTTTGAAATTTAATTTAAAAAAAAAAAAACATTTTTATACTGATGGTCCACATTGAAAGGAATTATGCAGACTTATAATGGAAACTTTTTTAAATTCTTAAGGAAGATAATAAGTGCTGCAATTTTTTGAAAAATATAATTTGCGACCAGCTGGAAAGGCTGGAAGGAAAGGAAAAGAATACAGATGCTGAAAAATGTAACACCACTATTTGTTTGAGGTGATTGCAAAGATAACATGATAGGTAACTCTTCATCAAGTGGTAGCGCTCTAAAAATCCACCTTTTTTTATAACATTGTCCAATACTGCCACTTCGATGAAAAAGTTCCCATTTTGGAATTTCGGAGAGTTTTTTGGCCTTTTTATGCTAAAAACAAATTGTGTAAATTAATATTTTTGAACATACATTTTGTATACAGCTATATTTGACTTCAACAAATACAAGTAATATCAGGACAATAACGCCATCTCTTAGATAAAAACCGAACAAACTTTTTACTTGACCTAAAACTTTTGCTCAATTTTTGCATACAACTTTGCTTTGCTTAATGCTAATTTATTGGCAAAAAACGGTGCGTTTTTTGAATGCCTAAGCGGTACTGAGGCTTCTTAACGATTAGCTGTTCAAAGTTCCTTTATTTGGCTATTTCTTAATAGCTCAGCAAAAATGCTAGAGGAACGTATTTATCTACAATTCGTGAGAATTTCGTATCGTGTTATCTTTGGTGATTGGGCAACGAAGCATTAAAAAATCGCTCGAGTACACTTACGAAGATTTCCGAAAAAATTCTCAATAATTTGGTTGTGCCTTGGCATTGTTGTAATGAAATTTTACATTTATATTTCCTAAAAAATTATTAAATTTATGAAATGACATACAAAAAAAAATTGAAATGTCGATGTAAACGATTTCTGGAATTTCCGATGTCAGGTATTTTTTAAATAAATTTCTCCAAGAGTATTTAAAAATAAGAATCAGGTGTACAACTTTGCTTCCGCCGTTTTTTTTTTCCAAAATTAAAAGCTTTATTGCGAAAAAGTGCTTACAGATATATTATTCAAGGCATTGTCCTTCGCTAGCGACAACTTTCTGCCATCTTTCCGGCAATTTTCGGATCCCGGCTCGAAAAAAGGAGTCGTCTTTTGACGCTACCCAAGAAGCAATCCATTTTTCCAATTCTTCGAAGGATTGAAAATGTTGATCTCCCAGGCCGTGTGCCATCGAACTGTCCACACTCACCTTAAAGGCATTATCATCTATGTATTTCAACCAGCCTCAGCCGGTACAGCCACCTATCGAAAAACGGCGGAAGCAAAGTTGTACACCTGATATTATTTTTAAATTAATGAATTACTAAATTGTGTCTTCTCCATTAATTTAATTAATTTTCATTAACAAAAAAAATTTCTATATTTTTCCCTTTGCAGATCATTTTAGGCGATGTCAACGTATCCATTTTGAACAGAAACGACAAAGTTCGCTATAAAGATGACTATGAAAAGTTCAAATTAATACTCAACGTAATTGGACTGTTAATGGCATTTCTCAATTTGATATTCAACTACAGGTGAGTGGGTGAGCGCGGCAGGGAGCGACGTCCACGCGATACGATACCTTAGTTGCTTGTTTCGGTTCGTCCGTTGGCAGGAAAAGCCAAGTGATACTTGATTTTTTTTTATTTTTTTTTTTATTATTCATTTTAATTTTCCTGCTTTACTTACGCTCGTTTTCGCCAAGTGCGCCGTTTGGCATGAACTAACATTTGCGCTTTTCATCAGCCGCTTACAAGCTGGAAAGCTTGAACTTTCACGTTTGTCCTTTTCATTGGCGCGCTTACTTGTTTTACGTTGTCTCGGCGTTGCTCCTCCATTTATGAGTTCTTCCTTGCAATACAGCATACCATTTGGGTAATTTATTTTTGAACATTTTCACACCAAAACGTAATAATTTTCAACGGTATTATTTCATTGCTCTGATAAAGTTTTGCAAATTGTTTTCTAATTGCATTCAAATGCCATTCCAAATATTTGTTTGACAGTGGAATTCTTGGAATTGTTTATGATTTGATTTCGCAGTTCATTTACGTTTATATTTTTCTTCTTTTGTTGTCTTCCTCTTGCTACGAATGGTAATAAGTCGACAAGGTAAAGGTAAATTTTTGTTGAGAAAACCATTTTTTTTCTCGCTAAAAAAATAAATTAAAAATAGAGATAATTAATAATGAGAAAAATTTTCGGCTCAACTTTTTTTTTACTTGTGCTTCCAATCAACCGTTATTAAATCAATTACGAATAAAACATGAAAAGTCTATTACCACGTACCGTTGGGTGGAAAACTTTTTGTCGTTAACTTTTATAGCAACAAAAAATATGTAAAGTTAATTTAAATTTCGTAGAAAATTATACTTTTGGTAAGCAAATTACGTAATAACGAAGCAAGTTTGCTGTAAAGATTTGGGCAAAGTTAAGAACTCAAGCCGGCCGATCATCAACCTCGTCGTGTCGTGTTCTTGAAGTACATGAAAATGATCCAGATTACCGTCGTAAAATCATTTTGACTGATGAGGTCGATTTCCACCTTGATGGCTACGTCAGTAAGAGGTCTTTATTTTCCATAGTTAGAATTACACTATTGTAGTAATAAAACCATTATCTCTATGGGCAAAAAATTGGGACAGTCGATTTTCGCAGGCTTCTCTTGAGGCCAATTCCTCACCAGTCACCAACCGCTACTGAAATGGGTCGATTTTGTTCGCAGTTGGAAAGTTGGTCCTTGAGGTTTTTTCTCGTTAACTGATGTAGGCCGCTTACTTCAAGCTTGTGTGTCCATCCTCTTTCAAGTGGCTCCAGACAGTTTTTGTGCTATTTTGAGCTGCTAGGCAAGCGGAACAGAACTCGCATGACGGTTAGACTCACCGATTTCTATTAATTTTTCGACAATTTGCCTTCCACACTGTGGAACGGAAGCAGGAACAGAAATCGTCGAAACCAAAACAGCATCAGAACCATAAAAACTATTCATTTCTTACCTGCCTGACTTTCTTTTCGCCTTAATCGAAGAAAAAATTTGGAATATAGTGTCCGCCTTTGACATGCCCTGAAGCACTAAGGAGTTACGTGATCTTTTGGTACAAAATATCATCTCTCTAACGCAAGCTAGCGTAATCCAATCACACTTATAGAACGATATGGCAACCTGCTTCTGGATCTTTGCTACTTTAAGCTTTCCAAAATGTGCAGAGATCATATCTGCCTATATTATATCTATTATTTAATTACCTTATCAATTTGTGTAAATGAAGTAGATACAATACAATTAAAAATATTTTTCTCTGCATAATTTTTAACTCTGAAATTTCAATATCCTTTTATTTATATTATAAATATATTTTCCGTTGTCCTTTCACGTTACTAAGATTGTTTCAAACAAAACACCGCCTGTGTGGTAAGGTGTCATGCTAAGATATTTACATTCCAGTTATATATTTGAGGCAATCATGTTCCACATGTGAGACGACGAAGGCTGGTGTTTTGCCTTTAACGACATACAAAGAAGTATTCAGCCTGAGGGTCAAATGTCACCGTCATACAAAGGACATTTCATTTTTGAAAAACAAATTTAGAGTGTCACTAAAATATACTCTCCAAATTGGTTTTTGGGGGATTTCGTAGGAACGACAAACCTCAGGCGGATGAAAATCCGAGTCGTTCCGATCAGCTCTCGCGGAAGCTTACATTGTTCTTATTATTATTAGAGTCGCCTCATACGACAGGCATGCGATACCGTGGGTAGGTGGAAATTAAAGTAATGAAAAGCTATGCCTTTTTCGATATCGATAAATGCATATAATTTAATGAGCCTAATGTAGGGAACGTTTTTGTTTCAAATTCGAAAAATCAAAAACAAAACGTTGCCTACATTTGGGCGCATGATTGGACAGCACGCAAAGTACTCGAACTTTAGTTATAGTTCGTGCTCTTGCCTTGGAATTTTAATAGTTTTCGTGTCCATACACCATTTTCAATTACTTTATATTCCTTTTAACGAAAGAATTTTATTTAAATTAATAAATTATATTTATTTGTATAATATATATCTTGTTGTTTCCTCTCTAGGGCACTGGAACTGGCATATATTTTCCTACTAGTCTGGTATTATTGCACCCTCACCATACGTGAATCGATACTCAAAGTGAATGGATCGCGCATTAAGGGCTGGTGGCGAGCGCATCATTTCATCTCAACAGCAGCTGCTGGTGTATTGCTTATTTGGCCACAGGGCGAACATTGGCAGCTATTCCGCACTCAATTCATGTACTTCAATGTCTATATCAGTAAGTAGTTGTGACATGGACATATGCATGTACATAATCATTATGTAAATAGAGCTAATTTTACTGTTATTTTCAACATGCGCACACGCGCCGGCAAATGCATTTACAAATTTTGCTGATTTATTTGCGCTGCTATTATCAATTACTACACACATCCCCATCATCCTTCGCAAGAACAACAGCAAAACAATTAAAATCTTTATATTCATGTTTTTTCCTCTTTTTTTCTGTTTTCCCTTCCTTTTTATTTTTTCTTTACTTCCCCACAGACATTGTGCAGTATTTGCAATTTGGCTATCAAAAGGGTTTGCTCTATCGACTGAAGGCGCTCGGCGAACGTCACAATATGGATATCACCATTGAGGGCTTCCACTCGTGGATGTGGCGTGGACTGAGTTTTCTGCTACCATTTCTATTCGGCGGCTATACATTCCAAGCTTACAATGCATGGACATTGTATAAATTGACAACGGATCCACCAGGAGCGCCATGGCATGTAAGTATATATTATATGTATGAGTGTGAGAAGCGTGTAGGGTAGCCAAGGAGACTCTATGTAAGTTACAAGTAAACGCTTGTCAAGGACATCGAACTTCCGTTTCCATGTATGTGTGTACGTGTGTAACTTACTTGAGTCTAAGTGATTTATTGAGCAGATACTTGAGTGACAGTAGGCAGACAGTCAGACGGCAGGCTGGCTGACTGGCATCAGTCGACAACTATTAGACAACAAGCGGCTTGCGGGCATATACAAACTTGTGGCTGCGGGCTTGTGCATATTATATATGTATGTATGTACATGTTTGAATGCTTCTAAGTGCGCTCGATTGTGTCCTGCGCTTAATACATTGATTGATTGTGCCTGATTTGCTGGCTAATTGATTAATTTATTCAGCTAATACAGCGAGACCTCTTCCCGCTGTGGCATGAATATGCTTAATCTTTGCTGACTGTGCATTTTATCGCTTTTATTTCTTTTTCCTTTTTTTTTTTTGCTCCTTATGCCTTATTTAATTTTGCTAACATGGGCATTTTTATGCTCCTTGCATTTTTCCAGGTGTCTGTGATGTGCGGCTTCTTCACCTTACTCTTCAGCGGCAACATTATCACCACATTATTAGTTGTGCCCGAGAAGATACGTGAACGTGCCAAGGAACGCTATCGTCTACAGTCTATGGGTACCTCGATGAAATTGCGCAAAATGATGAGGGTGAGTATTGGCTGGTGGAATGCAAAGACATTCACTTAAACCAATATGTATTTGTGTATTTATGTATGCATCTAACGCTTTAAAATTCATCACACTGCATAACACTATTAGCTTTATATGAAAAGTTAACTGTATAATTAGGAAACAGTTTGTATGATCTCATTTTTTTCTGTCTAAAAACCAAGCTTGTGGGTTGTATTTAAGCCGAAAACTTGTATTATATAATATGTATTTATATATAAATATTGTCTAGAAGCTTATGGGCTGGTTTGGATGAAACCTGAGCACTAACAAAATGTGGAGGTTTGTCTGTTATGGCCTTATATATAAGTTTATAATGAAAAATAATTACGAAAAGCGTTCATATTTTAATTTTTCAGAGCCTCCACTACAGTTTTTGTAGAATTTACTAACTAAATAATTTGTAGTGCTATTGTTTTTGAAATTTTCCACTAACGAAATAACTAAAACTTTTTTTCAAATGCATCTATATTTTCATTACAAAAACCAAACCTCTTTTTCTCCTTTTCAATTTAAAACATTTTCTTGACAGCTCCTGCTTTTTCATACAATAATACAATACATAAAAAGTAATCTAAATTTAAATTTCAAAATTCTTCAGTTTATTATCCTCATCAACATTTCCAATTTTGAAGCTCTCTTAAATTTTGCATTCGATTGCAACTAATTCCGAATATAAATCTTAAAGGTGTTCATCACAAAAAATTGGGCGTTAATTACAGACTTTCTTCCACCCTCAGCTCAGGATTACATTTCAGCCCATAATACAAAAACACGATAAGTTACCGTTTTATGTAAATTTGCTATAAAACATTGTACTCAACGGTATTATATATAATATTAATATATGTATATGTTTGTATGTACATGAAGATTATTAGATAATTATTATTAAATTATTTTAAATTCCTATTTTCATATATATTAAAATAATTATTAATCAATAATAAGCGATATAATGAGATTTGTTTTTATGAAGTAAGCGTGTATTAAATGAAGAAAAAAATCTTGTTTTAAAGCTATAAAAAATGAAATAAAATCGATAGTGGAATGAAAATATTTTGCTTTTAATTACATATTTTTTAGTTTATATTTTTAATTTTTTATTTTTAATTTTCATTTTTTTTAATCATTTTTATTTTTTTATCATTTTTCAATTTTTTTAATTATTTAAAATATTGGTTTTCCATTTTCTAAATAAACTGAGTATTTTAAGTTTTCCAAATGTTTCCGTGCAAATTGAAATAAAACTTTTTATTTATATAAACTTTTTTTTTTGCTAAAACTAGAAAAATTAAAAAAAAACAAATTTGTATAGTAAAAAAAATATTTTACCGGTTTATTTTTTTTTTAATAAAATGGAAATTTTCAAAAATATGTTTTTGGATAATTAAATATGTGTAAAATAAAAAAAAATGTTTTATTTAGCTCAAAAATTGTTTTATATTAAGAGAATTTCTTAGAACTGTCTTTTGACACTTTTATATAATATAGAAAAAATATAGAAAAAATATCAAAATTTTATATATAATATCTTCTTTTTTAAAGAACGCGTGAATGTAGAGTTTAGTGCAATAAAAACATTTTTTTTCTTATTTCTAATTTATTCAAAAATAAATAATAACAGAAATGAAAAAAAGCAATTTTGGTTGTTCTATGTTTTATCCAACTAACATAACATATATACAATAATATAAATAATAATATTTATATTCAGCCAAGCTCCTCCTCCAATTTGTGGTTTTGCGTCTTGATGTTCTTCCAACAAACGGAGGACCTACAGTTTATACTAAGCCGCCTCCGAACGGCTCATGGGTTTATGAGGAGCCTTTTTTCATGTCAGAAATACATTGGGAAGTCTTGACATTCCCTACAAAAATAAACTTACTTTTGTTTTTAAATTAATTTGCTATAATTTTTGGATGTTGGGCGAACCACTCGGCTATTGGACCCGCATAATATATAATATATTATTTTTAGTTTTTTATTCATTAATTAATGTGGACTGTACTAAAAAGAAAGAACTAAAAAAGAGTACAATAAGGAAAAGAAGAAATGAATAGAAATTAATAAAAAAAAAACCGCATTGAGGGCAAATAAGAAATTTCAAATCTTTTTATTTTAAATTTTTAAATTCTTAACAAAAATAATTTTAACTCAAATAACTATTTGCAGACGTTTTATTGTTAGTCATTTAAAAATTTATGATTCTGAAAAGAAAAATTTATTAAATTGCTATAATAAAATAATAATTATATTTTTATTTAATTTTATAAACATTTATTTACCGATATTATCATAAAAAAGGAGAGCTATGGAGCCAAAAACAGAAACGAAATTATTGGAAATTTCTAAATTTTGGTTTTAGTTTATTAATTTTTTATTAGTTTTCAATAAACAAATTGAAATTTAAATAAATATTAGATATGTTTTTGAATCTTTATTTTTTTTAGTTATTTTTAAAGATGTAAAGATTTAGGTCTTTTATGCCGCAAAGTGTTTTTATAAAAATAATAAATGTTAAAAAGATTTTTTTAAATTTTATAAAAATCAACTTACTGCTTAAAAAACTATTGCGGGTAAAAAAACTTAATATTACAATAATATCGATTAAAAAATCAAAGCTCAAAAGGAGTAAAGTAATTGAAATTCTAATGTTTTTTATTTTGATTTTTGTTTAGTGTAATTTTCAATGAAAAAAATTTAGTTATTAGTTTGATATTTGTATTAATTTCTTTTTTTGTTTTTTGAAATTATTTTTAATAGATTCAGAATTTAATTTTATTATACTATCGATTTTAAAAATCAAAACCTAAAAGAGGAACACAGTAATAGAAATTTTAAGATTTTATATTTTGAATTTTTATTCTTAGTGTAATTTTCAATAAACTATTGTGTGTAAAAAACATCTTTTTTATTTTTTTAATTTTTAATTATTTTAATTTCATAAATGTCTGGTATGTTGTTCCTTTATTTTAGCTTTTATTTTATAAAACGTGTACATTTTTAAGTTTTATATTTAGAATTTTTATTTTTAGCTCAATTTTCAATAAAAAAAATTAATTAAAATCAATAGTTATTTTAAATTCTGTTGTTTTTTATTATTAAAAAAATTCAAAATTTATGATTACCGTGCCTAAAATTTAATATCAAGGAAATAATATGTTAAAATTTTATTTTAAATTTATTAAATCCACTTAACGATTTAAAAAAAACTACTGAGGTCAAAATATATATATAGTAATATATATAAATAAAAAAATTTCTATTATTTTTAATCATTTCAAAATAATGATTTCCGTATTTAGCGTATGTGTTTAATTTTTTTTTAATTTTATATAATTTATATATAAAAAAAAACGAATAAACTAACTTATTATTCAAGTTTTCCATTTAAATTTTATTTAGTTTTATTTTCAATAAAAAAAAATAAATTAACATTGATTTTAATACAAAAAGTTAATTTAATATTTTTTTTCTCTGTTCATTTTTTTTACTGTTTTTTTATCATTTCCAAATATGCAATTTCTATACCTAATATTTTATAATAATAATTTATGAAATAATTAGGCCAATAGCCCAAGCTACTAATTACCTTTTATGTAATGTAATTATTGATAATTATTTTTCATTCAAATAAATAAATAAAATAAGTTTATAAAAAAAATCACTTGCCTTAAAAAAAATAAGTAGGGAAAAAAATTATTTGAATATATTTTTCAAAAAATTTAAAAATAAAATTAATATTTTTTATACTTTTTTTTTGATGTTTTTATTCATATTAAAATTTAGGATCTCGATATCTTATAAATAATTTTAATAAAATATACAAATGCTATCCATTTATAGATTTAAAAATAAAAGGAAAAATTTTGAGAGAGAAGATGAAAAGATTTTTTTTTTATACAATAAGTTGAATAATAAAAATAAATAAAATTATTATTTTTGACTTTTCATTACAATTTGTAAACGTTTCAATAATTAGCATTAAGCACAAAAATTATAAAAAAAACAATCACTTAATGGATGGTTTTTTTCCAAAAATTACCGCCAAATTTTAAATTTTTTCATGAATTTAAAAACTTGTAAAAATTAATGTTGTTAAAAATAATGGTAAATCACGAGGTGTTAAGTTCAACGAGTATACATATATACATATGTAGCAGACAGATACGAATTCCTCTGGAGTGCTTGGGAATTTACTGCCTCTGCTTGTGCGTGATCATACCAACGAAGGTCTGTAGTCGACTTCACAACTGTTACTAAATGTGCTGTACTGGGAACTCATTTGTTTGTAAAACAGAAATGTGTTATATAAATAAAAAAAATTATATAATGACTGTGTGTCACACTTAAAAATTGTAAGTAAATAAGTAAGTTAGCTTAAGCAGAAAAAAAACCAAGAAAACCACATAATACATAGAGCCTTATGTAACATATGCCTTTTGTTGCTAATGTCATTAACTAAGCTCTTCATTTATTAATAACATGATTTTTTTTCATTTTCTCTCTCACTCTCTCTCTCTCTCTCGCCCTGCCAACGAACGCATGCCACCTTGCAGAATAGCATTAGTGAAACGGACATTTCCAGCCAGCAATCGCTAGCCAATAGTACTACTAAACTAGACAACTCTACCTCCTTACATGCCATAGGCGATGCAGTAGAAACAACAGCAGCAGCAGCAGCAGCAACAACAACACCAACAACAGATTTAACAACAAAACCGACTTTAATTACCGGTAATGCAATACCATCAATAGATGTGGGTGATGTACTACCACATGGCCAAAACAATGAGAAGGAACAGCAGCAGCAACAACAACTACTACAACAGCAGCAGCAGGAAGTAGAGAAAGAACAGTCAACGGAAATAACAAAACCAGAGGATAAGAAGAACAATTAAGTGATGATGGGGATGTGAGTAGTGAAATGGATTATGATGGTGAAGTTGTAAGAGTTGGTCAGTTGGTCAGTTGAAAAGTGTGTGGAGTTTTTTCTTTCAATTACACACTTACACACTGAGCCTGTTAACTTGAAGTTTTTTAGCTGTCGACAAACTGAAGAAAAAGTCAAACGGAAATAGTAACTAAAGCAGAAAGGGGAATTAAAGCGGTATTACAAGTGTAGTGAAGTCAAGGAATTGTCTGTGTTTGTATTGTATTTAAGGAATTATATCAAAATGAATTTAATTAAGAAAGTGTGTTATGAATTTATCAAAAAAAATCAAAGGAAATTAACAATTCACACATTAGGCAGCATAAAATGTAAACGCAACCGTTAAACATTTATTATAGGGCTATCATTTGATATTACTACTAAAAAGAAATTAAAAGAAAATAATAATAATAATATTAATAATAATATGAAAGAAATTTAGTAAAAGTAATGAATTTTATTTTTAAGCAACGCTTATATTTATTGAAATTTTAAAAAATACACATGTATGTCTACTAAATCTATAATTGTGCTTCTGTTTTTTATTTATTAATTTTTTTTTTGAACGCAACACATAAGTTTTTCGACTAATTTTTAAATTAAATTTTCCTTAAAATTAAAAACAAAAAAAAAGTATTTTGTTAAAAGTGTTTCTGAAAGGCCTGAGGAATGCCAAATGATTTTAAGTGTGCGCGAGAGCGTAAAAATTAAATAAAAATGTCAGAAAGAAATAGTAGTCACTTAATGCTTTTTTATAAAAATATGTACATACATATATGTATATACTATTAAGTTATCCATTTCGGTAATGCAAAAGTACAGAACTGTATTTAGACATCTGTCCGACCAAACAACCAGATCATTTAACAGCCGCACAGCGCGTTAAAATTGTTAAAACTTACTGCAAAAAACGGTGATTCAGACCTGGTGCGTGGTGTAAGTGGAGATTATGGTGCACATAATCGCTCAACCACTCCAGCAATTGGTGATATTTAAGTAGACTGTACCGTTAACAGGTATTTTGGAATTCTTGTGTATATCTCGTGCCACCTCAAATATAGTGAAAGACCGGAATTTGTGAATTACTTGTCGTCCCCAAGAGCTGGATCTTTCTTATGGCATATTTTGCAGTTGGAATTGAACCTAAGTTCAACAACTGTTACTAGCTGACTATCCCAACGCCGTACGTACGTCGATTGGGTGCTTGAACACCAAAGCAACGGACGACGATTTGTCAAGCAAATTTTTCATCAACGAGAAGGCAAATTTCGCACTCAGGGCATACGAAAATAAGGAAAATTTTCGCATTTCCGGCACCGAGAATACTTAGATAGTAGAAGAGTGATAATTTTACAGCCAAAAGAAAATTAATGACTGTCTGATGCGCACTTTGACCCGAATGTGCAATTGGATCTTACTTCTTTGAAAACGACAACGGCGAGACTGTCACTGTCAGTTCGAAGCGCTATGATCGTATGATTACCGATATTTTTTTTTTTACCATATTGTCCAAGTCGTGGTTTCAACAAGACGACGCCCCATGTCACTCAACACGAGCAAATACGTCTTTATTGTAAGGGAAATTTCCCGGTCGCGTAATCTGTCGTCTTGGCGATAGGAATACGCGAAAGACGGAGCTAATGCAAGAAAGTTTTAACGCTTAAGCACTTGAAAACCAACATTCTTTAAGTTATGGCTGAGGTAGCACTCAATATATGCTAAAAAAGTGGTCGGAAATTACCCCAAATGAATTGAAGTTTGCGAAAATTCGCGAGCTGGTCTGCACTGAATGGTTCCCCATAAAATGCCAAAGGTTCCAAGTTTATAATAAAAAAGGAATTTCATGAAAAACAAACATTTGAAATGCACACATTTGAAAATAAACGTAACTAAAATTTATTTTTGAAATCGCCCAATGAACGCCCCTGTACTTGATGTATGCGCCTAAATGTATGCTAAATTTTGTCATTTCGGTTCGTTTATGCCAACAAAAGCGGCAAAGAAATATTAAATGAGCTTTTCTCACTGATAATGACCTATATACATTTGTATGTATTTGTATTTGTAGTTTTTATTTTTATTTTTCGAATAATTTGTTATTTATTAGTTTAACATTTTGTTTGCGGCGTTTTTTAACCACATTCAACTGTTGTAGTCGTAAGTAAGGCAACACTGGTTGAAAAAGTGCAGAAATGCTAAATGTTAATTTGCATACAAATTTAACAAAAAAGGCAATACATACAGACGAACACAATACTCGTATATGCCAAATATATATGTATGTACATACATACGTGTACGTATATGTACTCTTTACCAACAATTTTTAGTATGGGATTCATATTTTTAACATTTACTTCTACATTTGTATGTGTGTAAATTGAAATAAAACGCAAGAATTGAAGAATTGGAAGAATGGAAATTCACCGTGAAAATTAAAATATAGCAACTGTTAAGAATAGTGAAAATATCTATGGTGTCCATAAAGGAATCCCGTAATACATAATCCCGGCATGATCAAATCCAGACACGGCCAAATCCAGACATGACACCCCGCCAAACCAAATAAATAAATAAATAGTGAATAGAAATCACTCGATTTTCCTTGAAATTAAAAAAAAAAAATTTTTTTTTAATTTTTTCAGTATTTTTTTTCCTTTTCCGCACAAAAATAATTCTTAAAGGGCATTTGGAATGTAATGAATTTATTATGTTTTCAAAGAAAGAAACAAAGTGAATTACAGTAACAATCTTCTTAAATACATTTTTCACTTATCTACCCTCTATTTATATATTCTATATGGTTATATAAAATATGATACAAAAACCTGGCGTTCGTTCGTAAAGATCCGCATATCTCGAAAAGTTACCAACTGATTGACTTCAAATTTTGACAAATTGTTTCTAGGAATACTGGATACTGGAGATTTTAACAAAAAAAGTGTATCAGTGACTGACCTATTCGATAAAATCGTTTTTATGGTTCAAACCTACGCATATAGGTGGCTTCTCCGTGAAATTGACCAGGGACAGAACTATTCGAAAAACATTTACGTGAAATTCTTATTTTTGTTATGGGAAGCAGATCGTTTTAGCTGAAAAAATATAAATATTTACGGTTCGTTTTTGTCAAACTTGAACCAAAGACCTGAAACCCAATTCGATTTTCGAAATACAAAGATTACTTGGATCATGGACAGATCGACAAAAATTGGTATGTCTTGGATATATGCAAAGATCGTGCTTAGGTATATTCGGTTTGCATTTTTATTATTCTACTGGTTTTTGGTTTTTGTATCGTTTCTTGTTCATAACAAAAGGAATAAAAATTGATCAAAATGGAAAAGACACAACAACATTTGTGCGAGTCTGCTAGTTCTTTATATCTTATGCATGTAATCAAGGTTCGAATGGATATTTAAAAAAAAAATTAAAATTATTTTTTATTCTGTTTAAATATTGAATGAAATATTTTTTTTTTGTTAAAAAAAAAATACATAAGAGGATTAAATTTGGAACTCTTTTTTCTCATATTCCATGTGTAAAATTATGTTTTTTTTTTTCAGCTAATAACTAATTTTTTTGTACGCATACTTTTTTATTTTTTGTCCTGTTTTACGAATTCATTTTTGAAATTGAATTACTAAAAATGAAGAATAACGTATTATTTTCTCTTTTACAGTTAAAGTGTTTTTTATATTTTGGCTTGCCTGAATATTAAATATTGCTATGACTATTTTCGCTAGTCCGCATTTTGTTATGTTGGTTTCATATCGTGACGGGATCTTGACTGGATTTTTGAAAATTTCTAAATGTTTGAAAATATTCTGAATTTTTCAAGATTCGCTGAATTTTTGAAAATATTCTGAATTTTTAAAAAATTTTCTAAATTTTCGAACGTTTTCTGAATTTTTTAAATATATTTTGCATTTTTGAAATAATTCTGAGTATTTGAATACCATCTGGAGTTTTTAAAATTTTGTGAATTTTTGAACATTTTGTAATTTTTATAAATTTTCTGAATTTTTGAACATTTTCTGAAATTTTGAAAATATTTTGAAGTTTTGAAAATGTTCTGAATATTTGAAAATTATCTGAATTGTTGAAAATTTTCTGAATTTTTCAACATTTACTGTATTTTTCTGCATTTTTTGGATTCCTGAAAAATTTCTATATTTTTGAACATATTCTGCATTTTTGAAATAATTCTGAGTATTTGAATACCATCTGGAGTTCTTCAAATTTTCTGAACATTTGTACATTTTCTGAACTTATGAGAATTTTCTGAATTTTTGAAAATTTTGTAATTTTTATAAATTTTCTGAATTTTTGAACATTTTCTGAAATTTTGAAAATATTTTGAAGTTTTGAAAATGTTCTGAATATTTGAAAATTTTCTGAATTGCTGAAAATTTTCTGAATATTTCAAAATTTACGTATTTTTCTGCATTTTTTGGATTGCTGAAAACTTTCTAAATTTTTTACCAATTTCTGAATTTTGCAATATATTCTGCATTTTTGAAAATATTCTGAGTATTTGAAAATTATATAGAGCTTTTGAAAATTTCTGAGTTTTTTTTAATATTTTTTTAACTTTTGAGAATTGCTGAATATTTGAAAATTTTGTAAATTTTGTAAATTTTTGTAAGTTTTCTGAATTTCGAACATTTTCAGAAGTTTTGAAAAATATTGAAATTTTGAAAATATTCTGAATATTTGAAAATTTTCTGAATTGTTAAAAATTTTCTGAATTTTTCAACAATTACCTTTTTTTTTATAAATTTTTTTGGATTTTTGAAAACTTTCAAAATTTTTGAATATATTCTAAATTTTTGAATTTATTATAAATTTTGAAAATATTCTGATTTTTTGAAAATTTTGTAATTTATATAAATTTTTTTAAGTTTTCTGAATTCTTGTAAATTTTCTGAATTTTTGAAAATTATTTCAATCTTAAAAGTCGGGATTATGGAGTGCTCCGTAATACACTAAATAACCACTGAGCCAAAAACAACAAAAACGGTTTATATACGAAAACGAAGACTATACAAACATATGTTTATGTAAGCACATATGTATATTTATATAATATATATATAGTCGTCAGTTTAAATGTGTAGTTATTCTACAAGCAAATATACATATTCACCATTGTAATAACTGTACTGTATGCATGTTTCGTCGGACAGTTCTTTTTTTTGTTTCTGTTGGTTTTAGTGTGCCACAATTTAACAGTATTGCATTGCATTGTGCGGTTCTTTCTTGTACAATAATTCAATCAATACAACCGCCAGACTACCGCAAGAAAAAATATGTTATACAAACAAACATTTTCTACCTTGAGTTCCATTAAAGTGTATTGAGAAATATTGTTGATTGAATTTTGC